TTGTAAATTATATAATTAATTTTTATAATTATACAATATTTAATTATTAAATATTCACATATGGGTTCCAGGCTCGATATTTGAGGCCCAGTAGCACCAAGATATCCTAAATTCTTGTATGTGTTAGTTTTATTATTTTACATGTTTGTTTGTAAATTAAATAATTAATTTTTATACACCAAGATATCCGGAAAATATTGTTCTTTTCTCATGTTATTTTCTTACGATCGTTGACTATAACTGGATAGAGTTTGTGTTTGATCTATCAATTATTTTGACGTATTTTTGAGTATAAGAGATACTTAAACTACAGAGATACTACGCTAAAAGGCACTACATTTTATTACGCTAAAAGGCAATACATTTTACTACCCTAAAAGGGCACTATATTACTAGTCTTTTAGCAAATAAATAATATAAACAAGATAAAAATAATAAATATATTTAATCACAAAACATTCACAAAAATATATATACAACAGTAAAAAAAACTACATTTATTATATTTACAACAAAAATAAAAGGCACTACATTTTATTACGCTAAAAGGCAATACATTTTACTATCCTAAAAGGGCACTATATTACTAGTCTTTTAGCAAATAAATAATATAAACCAGATAAAAATAATAAATATATTTAATCACAAAACATTCACAAAAATATATATACAACAGTAAAAAAAACTTATTTACATTTTTTTTAACAAATAATAATGTAATCCGGTCTCCAGTCGATGGTACTATTTAAACGAGAATGCCGTGTCATCCAGCGCACTTGACCACTGCGATCGATTTCTCAAATTTTACATATTTTTTAGCACACTAATATCTAAGTCCGGATAAAAATAAAATACCACTTTAATCGCAAAAAATACACAAAACAACATAGAACACATGTAAAACAACTAATATGCAATTTTTATACGAGTTTCGACAAAAACTAAATCGAAATACCTCGATTTAAGTTTTTTGAAAAGTTGAAAAATTGAAGATTTGAGTCCGAAACGAACAACCACAACGAGAGAAGGCCTTATCAAGGATGTGGGACCAACACTTTTTACTTTTTGTGGGACGGGTGAGGTCTACTCGAGTTTTTTGTGTGGTTAATTGGGGGGGAGGTGGGGGAGGGGGGGGGGGTACCGCTGGGAACGTATTTTTTTAAATTGGGGGAGGGGGGTTGCTTTCTGGTTTGGGCGTGGGGGAAAGGAAGGGGGCGGTATTTGAATATGCAAAACGTGGTTTAGTAAAGTTTTTTCATATAAAGCGCTTTATCAAATCACGTTTTAGTTAAACATCTTATCAGCTTCAGGTAAAGCGTGGTTTGAAAATGCGTTTTATATAAAACGTGGTTTTGAAACGCGCTTTACCTTATTAAGGTAAAGCGCGGTTTAAAAGCGCATTTTATATAGTTTGGTCACTAAGTTTTTTTTCCACTTATTTCGATATTTTGAGTCCAAAAAGATCACAATTGGGTTCCCGCATTCTTTGTGAGTACAAGCAACCCGAACAACACGCTGATTTGGTCCCATGTTAGTTGAGGTTAACAATGTTGATGGCTAAGTAAAGGGCATTTGTCCTGTCCCACATATATGGGACTTTTCCAAGTGATTTACGACAGCGTTCTTTGTCGTCCTGTGATAAAATTTTCAACCCGAATATAGGATAATTGCTGAGGCCATATATTTTTCAGTAATTTTTTCATCAATAATTCTGCTAATTTTGAATTGTTTCGGATGATTCTCCTTTTTAATCTCCAATCCAACACAATAAACTCAATATTGAGGAGATACTTATATCAGACAGTTTTACTAATTTTGAGACGCAAAAAGCGTAATCATATCACCAACTTAAGTCTATCGCTAATTATTACGTCCAAGACTCTAACATATTGGCATGATTACCCAATCCGCAAAAATTGAAAAATTGAGATCCTTTTTCATAGGTGCTTGTCCAATTCATAAATGTAAGGTGATTATTATTATTAAAAAAAATTAAAACTCCTTCTGTTACTAATTTTTTTCTTATACAATATAATTTTTCGCCGAAAAAAACCTTTTTCTCTTTCTAACCCGGCCCCCGCATGTACCCATGTTTCAACTAAATGGCAGTCCTCGACAAGAAAAAATATGTCTACGAATGAAGCTGGCTGTACTATACAGTTGAAGCGTAGAGTTTATGTGTAAGCAAATATACCGATGAGATTTAATAAACCGTAGATTACTAAAAGAAATTTGTATAACCTTGATAGGTTCTGTTTTTATTTTGGAATAGTGGTACTATTTATAGGTCTTATTTATTATAATTTTTTGTAATTAGAAGTATCGATATATTATTATTACTTCTAACATTCTTCTACTTTTTTCTATTTTCTTAAACAAAAGTTGTGTTTACATTGTTATTTATTTCTAAGTAAGTCCCTTTCTTGACGGAAAAAAAAAAATACTCCTACTTAAGTAATCAACTTTGAACTTACGTTGATTATTTTTCATAGGCATAGCGCGAAACAATAATAAAATAACTTAAAAAGGTTTCTCAGTGAATGTAACACAATGAATCTACTCCTGTCAATGTATTATTTTCTCCCCTTAATTACGGCCTAAGCATACAAATTTCTACAATTAACATACATATCTCAAATAAAATATTGCATAAAATATACCATTTCCTGAACAATTGGTTCGACTCAAATTAAGATACTAAAAATACAACAAAGGAAGTACAATTGATTTGAATCAATATTTTGCTAATCAATCGAAATTGGGGAAAGACTTCTATTATTGGATGCAGGTCAGACCGACCCGATCAACACGGTGATATGGGCCCATCTTAGTTGATACTGATTTTAGGATCATTATCCTAAAATCACTCGAAAAAAGTTGGTAATATGGGACAATGCTCCTGTGAATTTTGGACAAAGATCACTTTTCCCCTGCGATCGAAACCATTTATATCTGATAATCGCAACAGTATATCAAATTTATATATTTTTTGTTTATATATATATAATCGATTATTATTTTGAAAGTGACTGTACACGATGTAAATTTCTCATGAATTTTCCCCACACCTTTCACTATTTGAACAATTAACTCGTGATCAAATAAAGAAGAGAGCATTTCATGACAAATTAATAGGGTAAGAAGGAGACAAATTCTTGCCAATTTAGAAGTTCAAATTGGACATGAAAGTCTATAAACGTCATCCAGTGAAGACGCAAATGGTAAGTTAATTATTTGGTAAACAGTGAAGTGAAAGATTGTACTAGGAGATAAAAGATGATGTGTCTCACCAAAGATATCAATTGTATAGACCTACACACTTTTAGGCTTTGACTTCTGTTGGTAGTCCAAAATGACTCAGTACATCTACCTATTTCCTAGTTGCCTTTAAAGAATTTGCCTATAATCCATGTAATGGCTGCTAAACTTTATTTATTTATTTTTGATTTGGACCATTTCTCTATTTGTGTATGTCATTCTTGTGCAAGGGTCATGTTATGATCAATGTTCTCTGTATCATTTCAATTTTATCGGATGTTTTCGAACTAATGGCTGCTAACTCACTTTAGTACCTGATTCTAGTCCTTTGCCATGTCCCGGACTGAGTTGTTCTGATAGACTCCATTAACTTATGAGATCTAACGGAAATGTGTCAAATAAGTTTTAACTTATCAATCTCTAGTCATTAATTATAGATTTACTAAAATTAGTCAAGCACATATAAAAATTGAAAAACCAAATAAATAAGGATTCTTTCTCTCCAAAAACCACACGCAAAGATCTCCACCATATTTAAGCGTGATCAGCAACATTAGATACAAGACGGAAAGGAAATTTCAAGGATAAGATAGCAAACAAGGTTATGAAACACTATATATATATATATATATATATATATATATATATATATATATATATATATATATATATATATATATCAAAATCTAAGCAAAAAGGGACCTTTTTCAATAGTTATGGTTGAAATTTATTGAAAACATATAAATGAGTCAATATACAAAATTTGAGGAAGATTGGAGGTAATTTGGACTGATTTGGTATAAAATATCTTAGTTGAAATCGAGTTCAAAAAATTCTTTTGTGACACATGTATCAAAACATGTATCACACATGTATCACACACATGTACACATAGATATACTTGTAATATACATTTGATACTAGTATGATACATATTTGATACACATATCATCTTTTTCATATTTTATCTTCTACTTCGAATTTTCAATTTAAACTACCTCAAAATTCTACCAAATCATCCCAAGACTGAGATTTAAACTCATTAGGATGCATTCAATCTATTCCAACACCCACTCAAAAGAAAACAAAAATTTAATACTTTTTTTGCTAAAATAACTAATTGGCTAATATTGGTAATATTTTATGAATTGCCGTATTAACCTACTTATGGGCTGACATAACTAGTAATTTCCCTTTTAACTTATTTCTTACTGAAGTATTATGATTGTAGTAAATCCAAATTCCAACAGGATCACACTAATCACTGGCTTTTTACATTCTCATACAGGATAATATTGACCTGCATCATTCTTGATTCAAATAACAAATTGGGTCCTCTCTGAAGTTGGACCATGGATCAGTTTTATTCCAAACAGCCAAAATTCCCATTTATCAAATTAGGATCACATGATAATTATGTTAGATGTGCTTCCCTTTCGCTAAATATGAGTTTATAAGCACTCTTGATTCTTGAGCTTCATTTACACCAGGTGGCCCCTTTTTTGGTGTTGTATTTAGAAGTTGACCGCCTTTTCAAAATTAGACCAGCAGTTTGATATTCAGAAGTGGCCACCTGGTCTGAAGTTTAAAGTTCAAAACTGATATTTAAAAACACAAGTGTCTTCTTTAAAAAAGGATATTTAAAATTCCCCTATAATGTTTTATTGGAGGGGAACATCAGAAGTTTACTCGTATAGAGGCCATACCACGCCCTGTTGCAGCAGGGAATATGAAAAGAAATATAGAGTATAAAACTTTTTAATTCTGTAGATGAGTACAATAATAAGATTCACAGCACAAGCTGAGCAATCTAGTTCCAACAAGAGGAAGTTGTGCTTTGAATGGGGAAAAAAAAAAAATTATTCTCAATATGAACTAGTTCCTGATGGCACACAGACAAATAACAAGACCAACGGGCAGCACATGTCCAATTTGCCAAGCACAGCAAGGGGAGCTTTTCAGAGTTCCTAGAGCTCCTCGTAAGGCTTGTCGGAAAACCAACAACCAATTTGCCGAGCACAGTATCATGTTAGTGAACCAGGCATGGATTGGTAAAGGGGAGAGCAGCCATGATATTTTGTAATACAAGTGTTGATCTTACAAGAAAATTATGTACAAGACATACTTTTCAAGAAACAAAATTTCAACAGCATCCAGCACTAAACAACTAGTTCAATTGGTCAACTGCCAAGTGTAGTCATAACTTGTAGCCTAAACACGGGGTGGCTTTCTTCTCATCAATAGTGGGGATCCTATTATATTTACCAAAGCAAGTTGTATTATAAGAAATATGCACATATCTAACAGCACGTTTATGTTTGTAGCAAACCTGAACAGTGTTTGTAGTCTTCTATGCTTCGCAAGCACTTCGGCTCTTGTACCAGGTTCCAGCAATGTTCTGCATGCGTCCGTTCAGAAAGACGTCTTATATGGAGCTTAATTGTTCTTAGAAACCTTGGTAAACTAATCTAGAATCTAGAACGTCCAACTGTCTTTTTATCCACGGTGGATCATCCGTCCTGAGCCAGAGAACTTCACCAGTATCTCTGTGCTTAAAGTCTGGGTATTTAGGATTGACTTTACTCTTCCTGAAGTCCATCCATTCATAAGGGCTAGCGAAGAAAATTTGCCACAAATGGATCCGGTTTCTGTACTTCTCCAATTCATCTTCATCTGAAAACGCAAGTGGATGGACCTAGAAATAAGTTAACGAGTTCGAAGAACCATGGATATGTAGGATCAACAAATTTCAATACCCAACATGCCCAGACTGGGCACCATCAATCATGCTAAGGTTTGATTAATTGGATTACCAGTCCACCAAGCTGTCTGACTTGGCACTAATATAAATGCTCTGGCACATCCGAGTCTGTGCCTGTGTGTTGCTCTAGATTAAAGTCTTGATTGAACTCCAAAGACAGAGAGCAGAATCAAGCATTCAGCGTCAGATGTATTAACGCAACATTCAAAGCAGCAATGTTAGCAGGAATATCCAAGCCAGTTCATAATTCAGTTCATCTCTCAATATCCCATTGTTCCAATAATTAACTACATGGAATGGTCACTGGAAGAAAGAGAAATATAAAAAGAGGATAACCTAAACCCGGATTATGTGAAGCATATTTTGAAGTCTCTTTAGTTGTCCTTTCTTTCTTTTATCAAGACAGAAATTCTCACCCACTCCATTCTACCTCGAAGAACTGAAAGGCGGAAGCTTCAGAGGATATCTTACACTAAGTGCATTTTCCTAAACTAAGTATTAGCATTCTTAGATTTTATAAATAACGCTATAATGAATGTGTCAAAAACTAGTAATTGATTTTTTATAATTTCTTAAATTCCATTCTAGAAATTTAGAAGTTATCCTCCTGCAATTAGCTACATTTCAGTTTTCCAGAAATGTCACGTATACAATCAATCAACTATCCTCAATGCCATACTACTAGCTTACTAGTTACTTAGGGTTGGTCATATAAATCCTCTATATTCCATTCCGCTCTATTCAGGTCCATTGCACTCCAATATAGAAAATGTCTATAAATTCTTTTGAGAAAAAGAAAATTTCTATAAATTGCTTACAATCTACGAACATTATCAATCTATAAGAACTGCTCAGAAGGTCAATACCTCCTGATTCTTTCTTCTCAAATTCTGGGGTTGCTGAGACTTGAACATCTGGAGTCACAAAATTTATTTCCTTGACAACTACCTTCACAAAAGAATCAGTACATGAAAATAAGAAAGAAAGCATTCTTGTGCAGCACAAGCTACATAAAAATTATGGAAAAAGAAAAAGCGAAAGCCTTTTGCTCAGCACAGGATCTCAATTTTACAAAGACACATCTGATGCATATTAATTTGGTCATCTAATAACCTGATATCTGAACTTCGCCCCCCACCTAGAAAAATAAAAGGAAGCTCATACAGGAATGCTAAACATAAAATGGCCGATGCAAATCTAATTAATCACCTCTCTAAAAGCTAAATTTTGCGCTATGTCAAAGAGAATAAAATGTCACATAGCGTGAAGACAACTGGAATTCTCTTAATGACTTGGCTATTCCACATCCATACAGTCACCCTCATTGTCATAGAATGTCACAATACAGATAAAATAGCTCGAGGGAAAGATAAGTCCGTTTGAAGATGAATTCTTATAGAAATCTAAACCACTAATAAGCCATAAGGCAAATAATGATAATCTTATGAAGAGGATACAGACTATATGCACTCATATGTAATCCTTGGCAGTGGCATACGCAGAATTTTTCATAAGCGGTGTCACTATTTCTAGTAAGAGGCCCATAACAGTCAAAAAATAATTGGTGGAGCCAAAGGAGTTCGAACCCAAGACCTCTTACATCAAACTTGAAGCTATCAACCACTAGACTACTGAGCTGTTTTGTTGCAAGTGGTGTCACTTTTATTACTTTTATCTTGTATTTCTGTTTTACTTATTATTTTTATATATATAAATAGTAAAAAATTTCGACGAAGCGGTGTCTCGTGACACCGCTTGGGGCCATGTAAATTCGCCCGGATCCTTGGTGTCCCAAGCACAAAGATAAATGAGTTCGTTTCACAAACGAAACCAGGTGCTTGCAACGTTGTATCCAAGTACTCCCTATAATCCCCCTTATTGCAATTGGACAGATATAACTAAGTGAAGCTTTTGTGCAAAATAGCTGAAAGTTGTCATAGTCCTGGATCATAACTTAATGGAAATGCCCAAAAGACACTAACAAACTTGGTGGATAACCAACATGCCAAAATCTCTAATAGATGCAAGGAATTTGGATGACCAGGGTACGGAATCTGGAGGTCGATGCCTAATAGTTTTGAGATCATGCAATTGCACCATAGTTAACTTATTAACAAATACTAGACAATTTTGTATATATATGAGGAACTATATAGTGTTACTTTTACTTTTATTTTTATTTTTATTTTTGTTTGGTACGATGATAACATAAGTTGCACTTAAAATGGAGAAGTGAGGATTCATATAGCCGACTCCAACTTGTTTGGGACTGAGGCATAGTTGTTGTAAGTGTTAATTGGGTAACAAACAATAACATTCTACACAAACTAGAGCGGGGAAATGCAAAACTGTCAAGCTGAAATATTTACCTAATTCTTGGCAAATCCCTTTATATACAAATAACTCTACATATTATAGACATAAAAAATACCAGTGTTTTCTGTGGGTTACAAACCTCGTATCTCATCATGTGTTTACCATTCTGGTCAGTCTTATTGTATGATCTCAAATGACCCCAAACATACACCAAATCCTTCGGTTTCAAATGTTCCATTGACACTTCCGCCATTTCATCCCACATCTTCAGCATAACTCTGCACACCAACAAAACTTTATTTATTAAAAAGAAATATCAATACGGAAATTTGCAAATTAGCAATAAATTCAAAGTCTTACTTGAAAGAGGGGCGGGACTGAGAAGAAGCGGAGACATTGAGGAAAGTATGAAGGCCAAAAGCGCCGTTAGTGGTGTTAATTCTTCTGAACGGAGAATCAATTTTTCCTATGAGACTGACGGAGTTGTGGAGAACTTGGTGTTGTTTTATAGTTGACGGCCGTTGAAATTTAAGGGCGTGCTGATACACTGCACTTTCCTCGCCTTCACTATCATCGTAATAGAAATCCCACGGCCCGTGATTCGCCACCGCCGCCGACGAGAAGTGCTGGTGGCGGAGATATTGAGCTGCCGTTTTGAATATGGAGAGGGAACGGGCGGCTGCTGCTGCCATGGAACTTTTGGCAGCTTTCTTTTCGGCGGGCGTTTCTAGTCTCTGTCAACTCGCTAATCACTTGTTTAATTATGGTTTCATCCTTTTTAGTATTTTTCGATTTTTTTTACGTGAATATTATTCCAATTGTACTTTATTAAAGTTACAGGGGAGTATCATTTTGAAATATAAATATACATATAGTAAAAATTAAAAATTGACAAACATATGATTTATCAAAATATGTATTTTGCTATACCTAAACAATGATATGTCTATTCAACTTTAAATTATCAGAATACCATTTAAAATTCGAAAAAGATATAAGAAATCTGACATATGAATATGGAAGAACAAATAGATGATTAACGCATGGCAATAACAGTTGATAAGAAAGTAATACAATCCATTATTTAAAGAAAATAAGTTATATTAAATATTACATCACACGAGAGGATCTCAAATAATTTTAGACAGTTTTAAAAGCAAATTCTATTAAAGTCTTAAAAGTGTATACATAAATATATTTATTGTCGGTTTGCTTCAGATTTTTTTTTACTCAATACTAAACCAAATCTAATTAGATTTTTTAATGGGCTTGATTTGACTTTTTGATTTGTTGCCATTTTCCGATTCGATTTGAACACCCTACCCTTTACCTCTTTTTTCTTACACGTTTTATTGGTGTAAAATATTACTCCACTACTCCATATGACAAAGGAAAAAAAAAATTATTGCTCCATTAATTTGACCATTTCAAACTTCATATTAGTAACCGTCACTTTTTATATTTAAGGTACACATACTTAAGGTTGCTAATTACTACCGATGATTTTTAGATTACCTAACGCCTAACGGTGTAACTTACTTCATATTTTATGAGGATTATAACTTACTTTTTGGGGGAATACACGGAAAATTCTAAAATTTCACAATAATTTTCACTTTGATAGTTCATTTGAGGCTTATTTCTATCAGACACTTTAATTATAGGTAACAATTGTTTTCACATTACGTACCATAACTTTTTAATATATGCGGTTGAAGTTGAAAAAAAATATATATTTGAAACTGAAGTAGTTACAAGAGTATTTAGACATGTATTTTATTTAGAAAAGAAATGGAATTTTATGAGAGAAAACCAGTGTCTTTTGTATAATACTACTTAAACTATTTCATTTGCAGATAGCATATTATAAGTTGAAGTTATAAATCCATTCTAATTTGTGAACCGAAAATTGATTCACAAATATTATGCACGTCCAAAAAGCAGTGTAACACTCTGTTTCGATTGCATCATCACCAAAAAAATCATAAACACAACATTTACAAAAGTTAATAATATATATTACAATCAAATTAGATATTACATAATGTACAACTAAACAAGTTATACGTCAAATTACTTCTATAATGAAAAGCTGAAAAGTAGGGACCCTATATAGTTAAGCATAACCAAAATTAACGTATATGGATAACTTCCATCCAAAGCAGTAGCGGTAATCTTACTGGAACTTGTAATATATTTATTCTCTCTCTGTTAAAACTTGATTCAACCACAAATTGTAATGGAAACTTGTAGGTTTTCATTCTGTTCTGTTGAGAGAACCTGATGGAGTCTGTACAAAATGTTAATTGTTCTCCCTTACCCAATAGATGGGCCGGCCCAGTATTTTATATATACGGGAGAAATTTAAAAATAGTCAGATTTATAACTGGTCGTTCAAAAATAGCCCAGTCTCCAGTATATTACACTGGAGTCAGCAAAGTATACCGGTCCAGCATAATATGCTGGAGTTCATACACAGGTGCATCGAACTCCAGTATATTATGCTGGACCGGTCTTTGTTGCAGCAAAATAGTGGTTATTTTTCATTGATTCTAAGACATCACATTCTGTGGCAAAGAGCCCATTCGATGGCATCCGCGCCCGCTTGAATTTCACTTTCACTCTTGGTAGCTATAGCCACGGGGCTTTTCTGGCTTGAACCGGAAGAAATCCATGAGAGGAAAACTACTTCTTTTAGAAAACAGACTTACTTAGTTCAACAAAAGGTCTTGACCAACAAAAAGAGCTTTTTCCACCAGTCTTTTATTTTGTAAACGCTGGCTATTTTTGAATTACCAGTCCGAAAACTGGCTATACCGTGCTATTTTTACTATATATACCTATCAACTAATTACACGGCCTAAGATAAATACATAGTTATATAGTGGGCTTCTGGGCCCAATAACAAGAGAAAGAAGGGAAGAAGCCCAAGTAGCTAAGTAACAGCATTTGCATTTGCTTGTATCTCAACACCCCCGGGCAAGTTGGAGGGTGAGATAACCCCTCAACTTGCAAAGACGCAAATGATGTACAACTCCCCCCCCCCCCCAAAGGTTTAGTGAACATATCAACGAGCTGATCAGCACTAGAAATGTGAATCAACTGAAGCAGACCTTCATTCAACTTGGTGTGAACAAAATGGCAGTCCAATTCAATGTGCTTGGTGCGCTCATGGAAGACAGGATTCTTAGTAATGTGGATGGCTGCCTAGTTATCACAAAACAGACTGACAAGATAAGAGAAAACAATACTGAAATCAGAAAGAAGCCCGCAAACCCAGGTAATTTCAGCAGTGGCTTTACTCATAGACCTATATTCAGCTACAACAGAGGACAAGGACACCACAGATTATTTCTTTTGACTTCCAGCCTACTAGACATCCGCCTAATAAAATGCAAAATCCACTGCTGGACTTCCTACTATCCGCGCAAGATCCCCAATCACTATCACAATAGACACTGATACAAAGATCAGGGGAATTATTATAAAATATTCCAAAATTAATAGTACCCTTGTGTAACGACCCGATCGATCTCTTTGAGCTCTAACGCGTCGTTCAGCGGTTTGAAGCCCTGAGTAGCTTCATTTCAGGTATTATGACTTGTACGCATGGTCGAAACTAAATTCCGGGAAGTTCGGAATTGATTTGGAAAGAGAATTCTCATTTCGGAAGCTTTAAGTTGAAAGAATTGGCTAAGATTGGATTTTTGAGTAAACGACATCGCAATCAAGATTCGAAGGTTCTAGCAGGTTCGTATGATAATTTCGGACTTGGGAGTATGTCCAGATAGGGTTTTGGAAGACCCAGGGACATTTCGACACCTATTGTGGAAGTTAGCATTTTTGGAAGAATTTCATAAGTTTGGGTTGAAGTGCATATCAGTGTTATCAATGTCCGTTTGGGATTTCGAGTCTGCAAATAGCTCCGTATGGTAATTCTGGTGTTGGGAGCGCGATCGAAAGTGAATTCAGAGGTCTGTGGGTCATTTTGGACTCATTTGGCTAAATATAGAAATTTGAAGGTTTTTGAGGAGTTTGACTGGAAGTGGACTTTTTGATATCGGGGTCGGATTTCGATTCCGGAAGTTGGAGTAATTCCGCAGTGTCGAATATGACTTGTGTGCAAAATTTGAGGTCAATCGGACGTGATTTGATAGGTTTCGGCATCGAATATAGAAGCTTGAAATTCTAAAGTTCACTAAGCTTGGATTGGAGTGCGATTCATAGTTTTAGTTGTTTGACGTGATTTGAGGCTTCGAGCAGGTCCGTGATATGTTAAGGGACTGAGTTGTGGATTGGACGGGGTCCCGCGGGCCTCGGGTGTGTTTTGGGGTGGTTTCAGAGCATTTCGGGTTGTGTTGGAACTGCTAATGCTGGTGTCTGGTGTTGTTCTTCGCGTCCGCGAGGGTCCTCTCGCGTTCGCGAAGAAGGATTTGGCTTCTGGGATTGTGTTCTTCGCGTTCGCGAAGGGTGTCCCGCGTTCGCGAAGAAGAAGAATTTCTGTTGCGCATGTCTTACTTCAAAGGCTCATATATCACAATATACAAGGAATTTGGAGATGATGTAAAAATGAAAGTTGTTGCCCTTTGTTTCTAGTTTTCAGAAAGATAAACCATTTAGAATTTGGATTTGTGTACGAAAAGTTATGGCTGGTACACTACAGGCTGTCCGGGAAGATGAAGAAGAAATTTGTGTTGCACGGGGCTTACTTTGGCAGCTTATATCTCAAAATTATAAGGAATTGGGAAATTTACAAAACATGAAAGTTGTATATCTTGGTGTCTAGTTTTCAAAATATTAAACCATTTGTCATTTGGAATTTTGTACAAAAAGTTATTTCTGTTATACTAGAGGGATGTCTGAGAAGAGTTTGAAAAATAGTTTTTTGAAATTTTCTTCTTCGCAAAAGCGACGGAGTTCTCGCGAACGCGAAGAGGAGTCGTCTGGTTAGTATATAAATGTAAAGAAATGGGTTTGGCTCATTTCATCTCATTTCCTCCATGGGAGCCGACCTAAGAGCGATTTTGGAGCTCCATTTTCATCATCCATGTCAAGGTAAGCGATTCCCACCTATTGCAAGTTAATTACTTGGATTATATCTAGATTTTAACATGTAAAATCATGGGAAATTAGTGAAAATTGGGGTTTTGAAGAAAAATCTAGAAATTTGGTATTTTTGGAATTTGACCACGATTTGGGCACGAAATTGGGAGTAAATCATATATTTGAGTTCGTGAGGTTATGGGTAGAATTTATCTTCGAAAAATTTCGGAATCCGGGCAAGTGGCCCCGAGGTTAATTTTGTTAACTTTTCGATCGGGGTTAGGAATTATTATAAATTGGATTATAATGAGTAATTAATCATATGTTAATGAGTTTACATAATTATTGGCTAGTTTTGGAGCAATGTGCATCGATTTGAGTTTTCGAAAGGGCATGGAATAACTGTTATGGAACTTCGGAGCGAGGCGAGTCTCCTTTCTAACCTTGTAAGAGGGAATTGTCCCCATAGGTGAGTTAATTGGTTATATGCTCCTATTTGTAGGGGCTACGTACGTATGAGGTGACGAGAGTCCGTGCGTAGCTACTATCATGCTTATGTCCGGGTAGTCTAGGACCCCAAATCATGTTTTACTTGTGATAATTGTAACCTTATTGGTAGTTTAAATTGCTTAAATCATACCGAAGTGGCAAATGATTTTCTAAAAGAGTAAAACTTCATTTTCATGGCTTGTAAAAAGAGAAATTTACACCACCTCGAATAATTATCTCCTCGATGAATGTCTTGAATGACTGTTTCAGTATGTGTTTCTATGCGTACCTGCGTCGCATGTATGATTCACAAGCAGGGTGATTGTTTATTTATGTTTGGCCGCGTTGCATGTATGATTCGCGAGCGGGGTAATAGATGCATCTATGGTTCGCGCCATTCGACCTTCTAGCAGTGCACATTTTAAATATTGTTGGATCGGGTCGTACGTCCTCGGCATGATTTGCGCATGTTTGTATTGCTTGCCTTGAAATTTATTGAAGTGATATTGTTTCTTCCCGGTTTGAGAATAAATGTATAAATGATGAGAAGGGATTTGGGAATTTCCTATAAAAGAAAGAATTGCTTACTTGCTTCACTTTATTGAATTACAATCATGCTTATATAAATCCTCAATTTGTTACATTATCGATTTATCATTATGGGACCACTAGTAAGTGTCGAAGTTGACCTCTCGTCTCTACTTCTTCGAGATTAGACGGGATACTTACTGAGTACACGTTGTTTTCGTACTCATGCTACACTTGCTGTGCATTTTGTTGCACAGGTACAGGTATTTCTAGCGGCCTACTGGGCATAGCAGCATGGATGATACAGAGACTAGGTGAGCTGCATTTCTCGAGGTAACCCGCAGCCAGTATAGTCTCTTCCAGCGTATTGTATTTACTTCTGTCCAATTTGTATTCCGGACAGTGATGGTACTTTATTCGATCCTCTTAGTAATTGCTCATGCACTTGTGACACTGGGTTCTGGGATGTCCATGGGATTATTCAGTATTTGAAATTGTTAAAGATATTTTTATTTATTCAGTGGAACTTATTCTTTATTGTTTAAATATATAAAAGAAGTAAATTAAGAGTTATCTAAAACAAGAAGTTACTAATTAATTAGTGTTGGCTTGCCTGACAATGGTGTCCGGCGCCATACCGACCCTTAGTGGATTTTGGATCGTGATAACATGGTATCAGAGCACTAGGTTCCCTTAGGTCTCACGAGTCATGAGCAAGTCTAGTAGAGTCTTGCGAATCAGTACGGAGACGTCTGTACTTATCTTCGAGAGGCTACATGGCTGTTAGGAGCACTCCCCTTCTTGATTCCTCATCGTGTGGTTTGATTCCATTAATTCTTATTCCCTTGTTTCCTTCCTACTCAATCGTATGCGACCCGAAGAGCTTAATATAAATCGGGAATTGAGGAATTGAAATGGTACTGGAGATGTGGTGCGAGATGTTTCCTCCTACGTATTTGACTGGGCAGTGAAAGATGAGGAACGACATGTGGAAAGTGTCTTGTGGTGATTAAACTCCTAGAAGGCCAAGTGTGGGAAACAAGAGTAGAGTAGTTGCTTAAAGGAGTGAGTTTGACCAAAGTGGGAGGGTGGCAGAGCAGCACAGGGATTCTGTGGTAGGATGACTACGTGCCTTGGGAGGAGTTTAGAGTGATTTGGGATTCATGGTGGACGGTGACTAGGTCTACGAACTTAATTTAAAATATTGGCTAGCATAATGGCGGGAGATTTGATATGACGGAAATGAACTGCTTGATATGAAGAAGGACACAACATGACTTTGAATTGGAAGATATTGTCGCACATTTAGTTGATGTCCACGAGGAGTGAATGGACTTGTGCAGCTGGTGAATGAGCACAGGCTCAGGTGGGTTATCTCCTATGAGCAGGTCAGCGGTCGCGTGGTTGGTGAAGCTCCTACGAAGGATTTTACTGGCTATCCGGTAAGAGGTCTAATATGTGAATGTTGCTAGAGATTCAGAGTGTTCATGAAATGCTAACGGAAGGATTTCGAGGAATGTGGCGGTTTAATTGCGCAAGGTCATGTCAATAAGAGATAAAGAATCTTGGTAGGTTCCAAAGTTGTATAATAGTGGCTTCAAGCTAAGTGGGAGAGTCCCACCGCCTACGGTTGGATAACATGGTCGCCTATTTGTGAGATTTCTAGTTATCGGCAAATTGATGGGTTACCGCGACTAAGGAAAGAGAACATCAGTGGTAATTTGAGCAAAGGAATTGAAGAATGTGTTCTATAATTGGCATCATCGATTCATGTTCATGATTTGGGAAGACTCAGGAATTGCTTCGCGTAGAAATGAGTTGCAAGGAAGGTGATTCGGCCGGGTGCTTCTTTGAGAGGGTGGTCATGTGCTAGCGGAGCCTTGCAGTTGATTATATTCAAGACCAAGTCAGAGTGGGTGACTCTCAATAGTGGTCCTAGTGGGTTCAAAGGTTAAGGTGTGAGTTGCGAAATGTCTTGATAAATTTCTTGTGTGTTGAGATTCCGCGTAGCGATGGTGTTATGTGAGCAGGATGGCTCTTGAGATTCAGATCATATATCGCATTTCAGTTGTGCTTGAGTTTTGTAGCTTATGGCACTATCTGTCCCCCCAGGGATGGTATTATGCACTTAGCGTGCTTGTTGCCGGTATTCGATATTTTGTAGTAATGAGCGATTTTGCTCGGTGTGTATCTTCTTCAAGACAAAACTATCCTCACAATAAATTTATATTTTCCAAATTTTCCCTTACTAATTTAAGCTTTTTCTTTTATTTTTTGTTTTCAGTTTCTACCATTCTTTTAAAATTAGAGATATTATATTGTTTACCCTAAAAACGGATNTATATATATATATATATATATATATATATATATATATATATATATATATATATATATATATATATATATATATATATATAGCTGTGTAATGTCTTGTAACTTTCCAAATTATCATCTTCTTTTTCACACTAAAGCAAATTGCCTACATCCTTCTTTTTTGGATTATCAATTCTCTTCCTACAAATAATCATTTATAATTTCTTCTATTATAGGCTATTAATTCCCGAATCTTTTAAACAATTATCAAATATTATTTGTGAAAATTACCTATGAATAGTTAATAAATTTGTAATTGCATCACATAATCTATATATTATTAAAAAATAAAGAAAGAGCATCCATATTAAGCCAGGTGACAGTCTCACAACTCACTTGGCAATTTAGGACAAAGTTAGTTAGGTTGGGTAATAATTAGTTTCTTTTTGAATTTAAATTTAAAAATATATAAATTATGCATTATGTGTTGTTAATATTCGTTACTCTTTTTGAATTTGAATTTAAATATACTTCACTATGATATTCAATCAATGATAACAATAAGTAATTATATTAGATAATATTATATGCCTTGGTATAACTATATATGTTATATTAATTTAAATCTTTAATATGCATATTTACTTTATATTTTATATTTTAATTAAATAAAATAAAATAATAAATAAAGTCTCTTACGATAAATATTTAAGTTCATTTTCTCTTTAAAATAATTATAAGACCCTGGTACTATCCTTTTTGGTAATTTGGCACTCAAAAGTATTTTTTAGAAAATTTGGTCAAACACAATTTGTTTACAAAATATTGCAAAGAGTACTTATTAAATGAATTCGCCAAATACAAACTTTTTTTTTTCAAAAATACTTTTGGAAAAAGCACTTTAAAAAAAGTACTTTTCAAAATAAGCAATTTTTTTGCGGCTTGGCCAAACATGCTCTAACTCTCATGTTTGAAACAATACATTATACTAACTAAACAAAACACATTTTAAATTGTACATTAATACTCGCATAATAGATCATGAGTTACAATTCTTGCATTATTTAATACTTGCTTCATTAATATCTTGTTTTAGTGAATTAACTTCTCAGACAAAATGTTCTAGAAAGAAATTTCAAAAAGTCACTGTAATACTACAAAATATTCTATTGAATTGAAAAGAAAGAAAGAAAAGAAGCGCGGAAAGGTACTCTGTTCTTTTCAGTACGGAAGAGAATATTCCGTTCACCCATTGTTCTCGAATTTCCAAAAATATCCCCATTTTCCCGCTCTTACAAGTTGGTCAATCTCGTAATTATCTCCAAACTCAGGGTCAAGTTCTTTCCCCTCGCTTCTCACACCCTTCTCTTCTTCTCTTCTTCTCTTTCCCGCACAGCAACCAAGACACGCACACACAGAGAGAGCAAAAAAAAAAATGTCTGTACGAAATCGACATTCGTATATAGTAATAAAGTATTTTATGAATAGGGTTTTATTACATTCTGTAAAGTGAAAAAAAAAAAATGAATTCTCATATTCAAGCTCTGAATGTGGATAACCACTTTTCCGCCGGCGGCGAGGAAGTTTCCGCCGGCAGTGATAAGGCGGTTGATGACTTTCCGATTGGGTATGAAGGTGAGGTGGGTGGTGTTAAGGTTACAATGCCTCATAATTACACAGTTTATAGTGCTTCTGATCATGTTGCTTTTCAAAATGGAGAGGCTAATTCGAACCAGCTCACACTATCGTTTCGTGGCCAAGTTTACGTTTTTGATGGTGTTACTACTCACAAGGTGAGGACTTTAACAGTTTACTTTCGCTCTATTATTTTCTTCTACGTGTAATTTGTATAGTAGTTTATATGTATGAGTTGACGGTCAGTTAAAAAAAAAAACTGTAGTTAAAGACTTTTAAAGTACGCTCAAAGGATTTATATATGACACCAAGCTAATTTGGGATTCAGGCGCTGTTAGTCTTATATTGATTGATTATATCGATCTCTTCTCCGGTATGTTTCGTTTTTTTTTCTTCTGTTTGTTCATAGCAGAATTGAGCTAGTGTATTTAGAGCGTTTAATGTGCTTAAATGTGTTCGAAAATTGGTCTCATTTTGATCAATCAGATTCAAGGAAGCCAAAATATGATATCAATAATCGAAATTTACAGCTTATCCTTGAAATTGTAGCTTGATTGTCTCAGCCTCAGGGGAAAAGTTTTTTTAGGGGTTTAGGGAGCGGGGATGGATATTGAGGATTCATACAACTGTTATACCTTTAGCTAATTATTTTCTATATTGGCTTGTTTCTTGGATTCAGCCTCTAATGGCAATTAGCGAACTCACTTGTTGCATTTGGCTGAATATCTATTTAATTTTATCATGAAGCTTTTGGCTAAAGATGATTCATTGTCATAGGTCCAATCGGTCTTTCAACTTTTGGGTGGATATGAGTATTTTCCGGGCATGCAAACTGTAGGTTTGTCAAGTTCAAACCAGGAGGTATCCTTTTCTATGCAAGTTTCTTCTTTTGGTTTGCTTCTGCACCCTTGTAATATCCGGCTTCCTTTTGCCTTAGGACTCTGTGGACTATCCATTGCACTGTGCAGATCTAAAAAGACTTGAATCCCTCATTAGATTCCGTGAAAAGAGGAAAAGGCGATGCTATGGAAAGAAAATCAGATATGATGTCCGCCAAGAAGTTGCATTCAGGTAAATTGACTTATTTACTGCCTAACTGGAATTTCTATCTCCTCTTTTTTTTGTTTCAAGAAGAGCAGAAAGCTTAGCAGTCTAATGAAGTTATGCACAAGCTTGCTCTTGACATTAAGCCCTAACTGGGCCAGTCAAATTTTATCAACAAAATCAAAAGTTTTACCACTGATGGAAGTGAGGTCAATCTCCCAAAACCTGGGTGATGAATAACATGTTCAAGACTGCAAAATAAAAATATATTGCAGTCACTCCATGACTTGATGAAGCCATTTTTTGCTAAATTAGTGTCCATGAAACCATTATCACTATATAAGTCTCCCTTTACCTTGTGTTTATATGGGAGTGTTTCTCTTTTTTTTTTGGTTTCCCACCCGGTGTCCGGTACCCGCATTGGAGCCCGACTATATCCGGATTCGCGCCGCGTAGGGCCCCATTTGGGGGAAGCGATATGGGAGTGTTCTTGTGGCTTTCTTCCTTATTTCTCATATTTTGTTATTGGGAAACCATGATTCTGTCTTTTGCTTCTAATTTGGATGAAAAAAATATTTAGTAATGTATTTCTGATTCAGTTTCCTGTAGCACACAACTACTAGATTATTGCCTAAATCCAATGCTTGGAAACTTCTTCATTCCAAAATTTTCTGTTTTGATTTTGATTTGGGAAAATAAAATGGTCGAAGATAGTTTTGCCTGATTCAGTTAAGTGGGGACATCCATCTCGAGCCAAAACTATTTGAACTGGCTGTGTTGTATTCTAGGAAAAATACACTGATTTACTTCTGTAGGTGAACCGAGTCTATTGATTGACCTATGTTCAAGTGATATGGCATTCTGCAACGACACTGGATTCATCAAAGAGAGATTGTTTTGGAAAGTTGATTATCAAAAGTAACACTCTGATGATGATGACATTTCTGTTCATTACATGTGTTTTAGTCTACAAGATGACGTGCAAGAATTCATTGTTCTATGAAATGAAATGCTGCAATACAAGGCAAAACATTTCCTAAGTGACAATAGCTCTTGCGCGCACACACACACATATCTACCACCTTCTGCAGTATTTTGTCCTTGTTTTAGCAGGTTGTGGAGTGTCAGCAAAATAAGGAAGGTTTAACAGCTGTTCTACTATTTCAGTTTGACTTTCGTCTGCTTCTTATTCACATTTATCAATAATCAGGATGCAGCGCAAGAATGGACAATTTGCTCGAAAAGGTTCAGGTGAACCAAAACAGGATGACAACCCGCCAGAAGAAACTTGGTATGTTTTGGAGTATGAGCAAGAGTCTTGCTTTTTTCTTGAAGAATAATCTCCTCTAAGGAATTAGTTGATGCGTATGGTTTGGTTAGTGTTTAAGTACTTTTTTATGCAAGAAGTAGTTGGTTGATATTGGATGCCTAATTTTGCAAGCTATAAGTCTCTGCCCTTAAGAGATGTTCTGGCTTCTACTTAGTCTTTTAACTATAACCTTACTAGCATTATTCTTCTCTTAATTTTGATGTTTAATTGGTTACCCAAAACAATAGTGTCTTTGGAAATGTTAACTCTCTCTCTCTCTCTCTCTCTCCCTCTCATTTCTTAGGTGCGTCCATTGTGGAACTAGTTCAAAGGACACCCCTATGATGAGGCGTGGTCCTGCTGGCCCAAGGACTCTTTGCAATGCATGTGGCCTCACTTGGGCAAATAAGGTTGGCCTCACTAAGTGGACATGCTCTTTTCCCTTGATAATAGTCAGTTATATGCATCTTAATTACCAGACATCCTGTTAAATTACTAGGATTTGGTCTATATGGAAAGAATGGTGTCCATACCTGGTAGAACTAGGAACTGGATAGTGACTTGTCTTCCAATTACCAAGTCTGAAAGTGTATTAAACCAAATCTAATCCTTGTTCTATCTGATTTCACTTTTACCAATCTTTCGTATCTTTGATACACGGCTCCTCTGGCATACTTTGGAACAATTTCTTGTTAGGCGGAAAATAGTTGCAACCTATTGTACCTTACTTCTTATTGTATCACTCTGCAGGGAATCATGAGGAATCTCTATACGGCATCCTACGACAATACTCTGCTCACAGAACTAGAGGTAATTGGTTTATTGATTGCAAAATAGTGGTTCTATGTTGCTGTAAAAATTTAATATTTTTAAAGCTATTTTGCATGGCCTACTTCTTAATCCATGTAGGATGAAGATCATAGCAACTCTGACTATGGAGCTCCTCCCCGTTCCCTCTCTTATCAAGTTTCTTCCTCGGCCAGTGATTCCTCCGTTCTGGCAGCTCGACAAAGACTTTGATGCCTTAGGAAGAGAACCATAGTATATCAATATGTCTTCTGATCATCGAAATGAATGATTTTATGTACTTATTACAGGTACATTTCATCACTCTTTAAACAGCTCGACGATACTGTTGAGAACTTTCACTGACTTTCGCCTTTCTTTTGAAGTTTATATTGACAGATTAACAGCTTTGCGAGAATTTGTTGGTGAAAGCAAAGGATTTCTCATGCCCTTGTAAATATACCAGTGTTAATCATCTTAAAGTCCTAATACTGAGTTGCAGTTCTTGACATCAAGACCTGCTATATTAAGCTGTCTGTTCATCTTAGGTTAGTTCTTGTTACGTATGCAGCATTTAGATTGAACTTCTCAGTAACATTAACAAGCGTGTTTTAACCTTTAGTATATCAAACTTCCCCTCTTTGTATAATCAGCAAGTATTGGCTACTAACTAGTGATGAATGGTCATTGTATAATCAGTAAATAATACACTAGTGATGTATATTTTATTTTCATATCCTCAACTCCCCTCCTCCTAATCTTCTAAAACAGGGCTAAAACAAGCAAACCAAGGTTTTTCCTTTTGTTTGTCGTGCGTTGCGCCTCACCACAAGTATTGAATAGATGAAATGAGTACTCCTTGCTTCCTTGCTACTCACCAAGAAATTAAACAAATACTTTTAATGTTATAACTTCTAAGAGTTCAAATACAACCAAATATTACGCTTTTTTAATTATTTGTTTCTACTTTTTGCCAGTTCACTCGCTAAAGCATATATTGTTACATATTGTATTGTATCGTATTGTTACTTTAAATACAATGTTTGTTTTGATTGTTACTTAAATATTATTGTATCGGATCGTTAAGTCTGTCGTTACGTAACAACAAAATGTGACACTTTATGTAACGACCGATTTGGTGTGATTGCGTCGTTATCTTGTCTTTTTCTCTCATCTCACCCTTCCTTATTATATTAAATAATTTTATTTTATCATTTACCCTACCTTTTTATATAATAAATTTACCCCTATCATAATTTTTCTTTATTATATTGCCAGTTTATTCTTCATATTGCTGGTGCGTGATATCATGAAACAACAGCAAACGATACGATCTATCCAAATATTGTATTCATCAAACGATACAGTACAATACAATACAATACAATACGATGCACTATGAAACGATGTGTAACAACCATCCAAACAAGCTAAATTGCCACTAAAACTCAAGTATTATTTATAATGATTCTTACTATAAAAATATTACTTTATAATATGCTTAACCTTCTTATATATATAAGATTGGAATTCCAACACATTTTTAACACATAAAATGACTTAATAATAAATTAAGTTAGTTTAACATAGAATATTATAATTTCTAAAATAAATCATGAGACCGGACAACTCTCTGTACGTACTTCAATCCAATAGTATAACTTATGCTTCCAAATCTAATCCAAGATCTTCTCCGGATAATCCTATAATATATTACCCCCTCCCCCCCCCCACCCACTACAACTTTAATCACTACACACTCTCCTACAGCTCTACTGCATCACAGCCGCAAAATTTACTTTATCTAAACAAATGACGGCTAAATCAACTTAATGTCGAATTTAGCTACACCCTGCAGTACTGGATCACCGCTAATTTGATCAATACTCAGACTGGAAAATTAGAATAATGCCAAATAGAGTCTCTTTAAGGAAACACTAATGGCAGAAGCTGTAATATTTTCCATTTTTAGGCTGCATTTTATTAAAACGACCATTTGTCTCCTTCCCACTCTCTTCCTCTTCCTCTTCGTCATTATCACCACCATTTTGCTCTATGTAGCTGAATTTTGATCATGAAATTCATATTTTTCATATAAACGAAGATAATTTGGAGATTTTTTTTATTGTTTGTGAAAAAGTGATTTTTTTAATAATGATATTAGTGTTAACTTGGAGATTTACGAGCTATGGCAGAATTGTTAAGAAGAAAATTCTAGAAGAAATGGAGGAAGAGAGAGAAGAAAGGTCCATCTTCACCGACCCATTTTTATTTCTTATTTTTGTATCTCTCTCTAAATCAATATTACAATCCTGTATTTATATTTTCAGTAAAGAAAATAAAAACTAGACTAGAAAAGAAAATAAACTTGACTAAAATACAATTGGACCGGGTATGTTATTGGGCCAAGCCTTTTCCTTTATTATTTCCCATATCAGTGCTAACACCCCCCCTCAAGCTGGAGGGTGAACACACACCAAGCTTGCCAAGAAAGTGAAGATGCAGTTGACCACCCAAAGCCTTTGTCATGATGTCAGCGAGCTGGTTGTGACTGGAAACAAAATGTAGAGAAATAAGGCCAGAATTTAAGCATTCACGAACATAATGACAATCAATCTCGATATGCTTAGTGCGTTCATGAAAAACTGGGTTCTTGGCAATATGAAGGGCAGCCTGGCTGTCACAATAGAGGGGAACAGGGCTGGTAATAGAGAGGCCAAGATCCCCAAGCAATCGAGTCAACCAAGAAACCTCAGCAGCCACCTTCCTGAGGGCCCTGTACTCAGCTTCAGCTGAAGATAGAGAAATAGTGGGCTGCTTCTTACTTTTCCAAGAAATGGGACTGCCACCAAGGGTCACATAAAATCCAGTAACACTCTTCCGAGATATAGCACAAGAAGCCCAATCAGAATCAGAAAAACCAGCAAGAGAATAATCAGAATAATTGGAGAGGAGAATCCCTTGAGAGGGAGCATTCAACAGATATCTGAGAACATGTAGGCCCGCCAGCATGTGAGGGACCTGAGGATGCTGAAGAAATTGACTCAGATGCTGTACTGAGAATGAGATGTCAGGTCTGGTATGTTGTAAAAAATTAAGCTTTCCAATGAGCCTTCTGTAAATACTAGGATCAGGAAGAGGATCTCCCATGTCCAAAGTGAGCTTAACAGATGGATCTAAAGGAGTGACAACTGGAGAAAAATGGTGACAATTGAACTCATTGAGAAGATCAGAGGTGTACTTGTGTTGGGTCATGAGATAACCTTGAGGATAGGCAGTGATTTCCAGCCCCAAGAAGTAATGTACTGACCCCAAATCCTTTATTTTAAACTGAGCATCCAAATAGGACTTCAAGGAGTTCATTTCAGGGAGATCATCACCAGCCAAAAGTATGTCATCAACATACACTGCCAGAACCACTAGAGAACCAGAAGATGACTTTGTAAACAGGGAATAGTCATTCAAACTTGAAATGTAGCCTCTAGAGAGCAAGGCTTCAGACAGTTTGGAAAACCACTGTCTGGAGGCTTGTCTAAGGCCATATAAAGACTTCTTAAGTTTGCAAGCCAATGGAATGGAGGAAGAGGAAGATACATCAAGAGCTGGAGGTATCTTCATATAAACCTCCTCATGAAGATCACCATGGAGGAATGCATTATTAACATCCAACTGGAACACAGTCCATCCCCTTTTGATGGCAAGAGTGAGCAGGCATTTGATGGTGGTCAGTTTGATAACAGGGGAAAAGGTCTCAGTAAAATCAATGCCTTCCCGCTGAGTATCTCCCCTAATGACTAACCTGGCTTTGTATCTCTCAACAAAACCATATGCCCTCTGTTTGATTTTGTAAACCCACTTACAAGGAATGGCCTTTTTATGAGGAGGAAGGGGAACAATATCCCAAGTCTGATTTGCCTCAAGAGCAATGAATTCCTTTAGCATAGCCTCTTGCCAGGCAGGATGAGAAGCAGCCTGCTGGTAGAACTGAGGTTCATCCATGTGTACTTCACTAGGCAGAACTTTAGAAATAGAAGGAAGAGAAGAGTGGGAGGTGGCAGAAGAACAGACATAGTCTTTGAGATAGGCAGGTTGGGTGACAGTTCTGGAGGATTTCCTTAAAGGAGGGGCAGGTGATGTAGGAATGATTTCAGAAATGGAAGCAGGTGGAACATGGACAGGAGAGGGAGTAGGGGTGATAATAGGAGTATGAACATCAGAAGAAGAAGTAGGATGAGGGGAGATAAGAGGTTCTGAAGATGGAACATCCACAAATGGTGAAGGAAAAACAGAAGAAAGAGAAGGAGAGGAAGAAGAGGAATAGGGAAAGATGTGTTCATGGAATATTACATCCCTAGAGTAGAACACTGAAGAATTTGACATGTTCAACAACTTGTAACCTTTCTTACCACAAGGATAACCCAGAAATATAGAAGGTATAGTTCTAGATTGAAATTTGGTCCTACCAAATTTAGGGGAAGTTGCAAAGCACATACACCCAAAAGACCTCAGGTGATCATAAGATGGTGGATAACCATGTAACCTTTCATAAGGGGAAACTTTAAGTAAAAGAGGTGATGGATTCTATTTATAAGATAAGTTGCAGTCAAAACACAATCACCCCAAAAGTGCATGGGTAGTTTAGATTGGAATAAAGAGCTCTAGAGACTTCTAATAAATGTTTGTGTTTTCTCTCCACAACACCATTCTGTTGTGGAGTATGTGGAATGGTAGTCTGATGCAATATGCCTTGTGAGGCAAAGAAAGTAGAAGCCTCAACACTACTACCAAGTTCAAAGGCATTGTCTGATCTGAAAGTGTGAATAGAAGAGTTAAAATGTACTTTTACCATAGAGGTGAATGCCTTCAAGACAAATAAGGCATTACTTTTGGAAGAAAGTAGACGAGTCCAAGTAACTCTAGAGAAATCATCAACTAGGGTGAGAAAATACCTAAAGCCATTATATGTTTTAGTGTTATATGGACCCCAAATATCAATATGAACTAGTTGAAAAGGTTTAGTAGAATGGATACTGCTGTCATGAAAAGGCAGCCTTTGTTGTCTAGCCATAGGGCATATAGGGCATATAAAGTTTTGTTTACTGGATACTTTATCAGCTAAGAAAGGAATAGATTGCATCTTATGAAAGGGCATATGGCCTAGTCTTTGGTGCCAAAACAAATCCATTTTATTGATGACAGAAGTCTGATTACATGTAGGTGAAGAAAGAACAGATTGAGAAATTGATGCAGGTCTATTACAATTAATAGAACCTATAGTAAGACTAGAATCTTTAGAGGATGTAGTAGCATTAGAAGACAAAACATGAGCTGAAATGGGAAATAGATCTGCATCTGGATGGAGATAGTAGAGTCTGCCAGCAGCCTTACCAATTACCAGTGGCCTCTTCAAAGAAGGGCCCTGTAAAGAACAGTAGAACTTGGTAAGTACTGCTATACATTCAAGTTGAGTAATGAGTTGATGTATAGAGATTAAATTGAAATGAAAAGAAGGTACAAGGAGTACATTAAGGAGGATTATATCATGTCTCAGGTGTAAGGACCCAGTTGATATAACTTTTACTTTATAACCATTTGGTAAGGTGACAAGAAAAGGTCTAACTAAAGGTACAATATCATGAAGTAATTGTTTGCGTGGAGTCATGTGATTAGTGGCTCCT